TAAATTATATATTATGAGAGAATATCGAATGTTGTGCAAACTCATCTATTAATAGATTTTTTTTTTCTCTTGTTTTATTTATAGACAAAAGATTTTCTTTTCTTTACACACGCCATCAAAAAAGAAAATGACATTTGAGAGATATCAGATGTCAACAAAAAAAATTATTTAAATCGATTGAGTAAAACAAAAATTACAATTTACTTAAAAATTAAAAAAAAAAATTTCTCTCGATATGTATTGATAGTAAAAAAAAAGGAATGTTCTATTTTTCTATGCTATTCGATTATCTTTCAATTAATATCACAGTAATAAAAATTTCTATTAGATCTATTTGGTTATGATATCGAACGACAATACTAGTTCATATAGTCTTTGATATGTTTTCTTTTTACTTTATTCTTTTTTCTCGTCCATTTTACTGTCTAACCGTTTACCCATATATATTCACAAAGATGTCTGTCTTGTTTATGTGCGTAGTTTATATCTATATTTTGTTTTATGTTCTACGGCCACGGCTGTTTGTATAATCTAATATATATAAATAACTATGTGTATTAGAGGAGACGAGAAAAAAGAATAAAGAAATGAAAAAGTCAACAAGAAAATATATATATCAAAGACAATGTAAAATAATTTTATTATCACACATGATAACTAAATAAATCTTATTGAAATTTTTATTATTATAATATTTGTTGAAGTATCATCAAATACCATAATAAAAATAGAGGATTTTTTTTCTTAATAATCACAACAGTTGTAGAATCCAGAATTCTATGGACTTATGTATTTTTTTTTAAACCAGTTGATTATTACACACTAGAATTCTATGTTCCATAAGACAAATTTTACATGAACTAGCGATCAAAGAATAGTAGAATTCTTTTCTGGTCCGTTTAGAATTCTGTCGAATTTTATATTCTTCACTAGAATTGAAGAGTAACAAGAAGTATGTGTTAACCTCTACTGATTTTGTTTACCTTATGCTATTAGGAATAGAATTCTTGTGTAATTTTTGAATTCTTAGTAGAAGTCTGTTGTTTGAAAGGTTGATAGATTAGTATGGAGCTTAATAGTTTATTTACTAATGAGAATTTATCTTAATGAGCTAAGTCCATTGTTTATCGATTAGATTTTAAAATTATGAATTCTGCAACCTCTCAATAATCAGACTATATAGAGAAAAAATTTCTTTAAACTTCTTAGATGGAATTAAGATACTTTCGTCACTACTGTTGTATAATCATAACTGATTCTTTGTTTAATATTATATTCTATTTGATGATGAATAAAGCATTTAACCATTGACAGATGATAATGTTACTAATTTGAGATTATTTGCTCAATTTAATATCTTTAGATTTTTCTCTATGTTTTATATAAAATAAAGTATAAAATCATCTTTCTTTTCATTTTCATATACACATAATGATCTCATGAGTATTCTCTTTAATATTTTTCTACTTTCTAATGGCTACAAATTTAATTCTGGAATTATATTAACACACGAAAAATATTGTTAAAAGATTTTCAAATATGAACCGTCGTTTTCCTGATCTATACCTTTTTTATATTGATTTCCATACTACCGGTAAAGTAGTTATGAAAAAATCGAATTATGAAATTATTGACACATATTGAATATTCAATTTAAAGGATCATGTATCATAATGATAGATCAGAATATCTACATTCAATATTTCAAAAAATAACACACTTTTGTAGACTAAAACACCTTCAAGACAATCTAATAATCATGAGATTGATCTAAAAATAAAATTACAAAGTAAAACTCTATAATTTGATTTTTCCATAAATATCTTGCTGGTGATAAGAAAGCCAAAAAAATACGGTCATAGTTGAGGAAAGGCGAAGCTGTTATTTTTTTTGGCTTCTATTAGTCTCGTCAGATTGATTCAGGTTTTGGTTATAAATATCATGTTAAGTTTGCTGATTAAAGAAAAAATTTTGAAGATCTTTATCATTCATTTTTCATATCAAAATTCTTCAAGCTATGTTTTTTTCTCTATGTGTAACGAAACATTCGATATTGATTGGAATATAAAGCGTTTTTAGACGACTATTGTTTTCATTAGATGCAATAATAACTTTGTTAGAAATCAGTATTTAAAATGTTTTCTTAATATAAATATGTCATTTACAAGACCTGATTCGAATGTTTTATTTTTTCAATAATTAATTTAAAATTTTTTAATCATATTATGCAGTTTTATGTTTATTTTTGTATATATTTCTTTTTACATGCACAGTCTTTTCCATTATAATATAATTATTTCAATTATATTTTAGAAGTTTTCAAATGAAAAGAATTAATCAAAAAAAAAACTTTTATATTCAACTTTAAAAAAGTTTTTTTTTTCGCAGTACTTTTTTTTTATTGTTAGAACTGAAAAATAAGAATTTTTCTACGACAAACTTTAATGTATAACCTATGAAAATGATACTCATTATGATATTTATGTATATAACAGAAGGAAAAAATTGTTATTAAATATTTTCTTTCCATAGAGTCTCTATTATAGAGACTATTTTTATAAAAATAATTATTGATGTGTGCATATATATAATTAAGTGAATAGGGAAGCATCATGTTCAGTCATATTCACAACGTATGACATGAATATGATGTTCATACATTTATATAGCTCACGTTATTGTGCCTGGTTTATTGTAAGCTTCAGATTTTTTGTTTTCATATAAAAAAAAAAGAATGAGAATGACATATTTAATATATTAGTACTTACTGGGGTGTATGCAATATTTTCTTTACCAGTTTGATTAGTCTTACTTAAAATATATATTTTGAGACGTGAGATATTATAATAAAACAAATACAAATTAAAAAGATTTTTAATATTTCAATTGAACTAAATCGATATATTGAATAATACATTTGAAGAACGTGAATTTATTGTTATTTAAAAGAATATACTAAATTATCAATCAAAATTTACAATTTTTTAAGTTCTGCTCGCAATAGAAAACATTTCCCTTTAAACTCTCAACACAATCTTTTTTTTTGAATCCTTCAAAAACAAAACTCAGTTAATAAAAATAAGACCCAATAGAAGATTTTTTACATCTGAATATAATAGAAGCCATTAGGATCTTTAATCATATTAATAAACTATTTTTCAATCTCACGTGATTAACTCTTTACCTTCTTGTACTTATTGCAGTAGAGATTGATGTTGAATAAACCAAGAAAATAGTTTGATCAAGTCTTAATTATGACATTGTTGCAGTTCAATACGAGTGAAGTCATTTGACTATGAAAATATAGAATAATCAAAAATGATTCATTTGTTTTGAATAACATAAAAATTGAATTTATTATTAAATTGATGCTTTTACGACTTTTTGCAATTATATCGTTATTCCAACTGAACATCTCCTAACTATGAATTGGTGTTTGACAAATGATTTATTTCAGAGGACAATATATAGTTAAACATTTTCAAAAGCTACTATTTACAGATTGATATTATTTTTCCTTTATCAATAAAAAAAAAATCATTTGAAAAAGTAGTCATGGAATACTTTTTGACTGGTTATTAAGTTTAATTAAGTGCTTAACATGAAGATCGTGTTTTTTTTATTAACTCATATGACAATTAAAATTACTCTAAACAAACCATTTTTTCATGTTACTTACTATAAATAAGTCAAAAATAGATTAGTAAACGATAAGTATGATAACTTAAGCACGAAAATGTTCAGCAGCAGAAACTTAAGCATACATAAAAGAACGTAGGTTTGAATGCACCTAGAATTGCGGATGAAAATGAAAAAAAAAAGGAGAAGACTAAGAGCTACACCCAAAGTCACACTATTTATTATATTTTTTTCATCAATAAGTTAAAATTTTCGAATCAGATCATTACAATTCTTCTATTATACTATAAAATAAAAAATTTCTTTTATTTTTAAAACATATTTTTTTATTAATATTTATATTTTAAGTAAATTTATCTAACAATAAACAATAATTTTGTTAAAGTGAAGATCTTTGAGAGATATGTATTATAACTTATACATCTATTAAAATAATAGACATAGTCATGAATAGAACAAATTAAAAAAATATTTAGTTAATAACTGGAATAATAAACCGTTTGATAATTTGACCAAAGAAGACCAGCATTTATTATATAAGTTGCAACACAAACAAGACATAAATCTTTAAGAATAAATGCAAGTATATAAGCCAAATAAAGTGAACCAAGACAAGCTAATATAGATGAAATTAAAGCAATTTTAGTAAATAATGGTATTGGTATTAAACCTTTCGTTTAAAAAAAAAAATAAATATCAATCAAATAAAAACCGTTTTTTTTTGTTTCTTACCAAAAATAATTTGTAAAATATAAAAAATCATACCTAAATTACCATTCGATGCATTCATCTTACTATTTTTACCAAATAAAGCATCTGTTATACCAAATCCAGTACCATATCTTAATATATATATATATTAAAAATAATTTTCTTTATCTATTGTATTCATTAATCTTACTTGCTAGTTAAAACTCGTGTACAACTTGCATTTGGTCCTAGATCACATAATGCTCGATATTTTGGATTTTTATCATGTTGTTTTTTAACATAAAATGTATAAATACATGTAATAAAACCTGCTATTCCCAATAATACTTGATCAACGATCATGTCTTTTGTTGTTTTTTTTTTTGAATATCTATGAAAATGAAAAACAAATATACACTGCACATTAACATTCTCTCAAATAGGCATCCAATAAATACATATAATATATAATAAATAAAGTTTTTTTTTTTTTTTTCTTTTGAAAGACAATAACAAAACAAAGAGAATATCTGACATTAAAAAGAAAGAAAAAAAAAACGTTTAATAATCGTTCACACATTGAAAGACAATTAAAACAACATAGGGGGGTATTGAAAATTATTTAAATGAGCACCGATTGAATGAACGCTTTTTCTTTTTTTTTTGAGTATTTATGGTTGAGAAGTTATAACACCAACCATTTCATCAAGTTGATAGAGTAGATTGGCACTAAGTGGTAATTGATGTTGATAAGATATTGGACGAGATCGACACTAAAATATAATTAACCATGTAAATAAATATATAGTAATAGATCAAAGTCTATGTCACAACAAAAAAAGATTTCAGACATTCTAACGATTTAAATATGAAAGACAATTATGATCAATGTAATGTATTTCATTTACAAGTATCATAAATAAACTATATATTGATAAGGAATAGCATATGTTATGACATCGTATTGATAGAACGAAGGATTCAGTTATGTTGATATTCGAATAAATCAATTCATCTTTTAAGTCAAGAACGATTGTAGACTGCTTCAAGTTCCACTTAGGAATTAGTAAAAAGAAAATGAATGCATAATTGAATAGGCAATCTTTTTCAGGATAAAAAAAAAACAACTCAATATAAAAATAGGTATTATCCATCAAAATTATCTTTCTGAGTTGTGTCTTTGACCTACAAAATATGTCAAACCTTCAGCATTTATAATGAATGATAACCTCGAAGATGAGAACTTTTGTTCGCTACTATATATATATCATAAATAATGGAAATAGAATTTTGTATTCATATAGTAACCAAAGAAACTCACAGGATTAATACCGAAAAAAAACAAATCGATTTATTTCATATAACAAATATTTTCATAATTTTAATACTTAGATTTGGTTATTTCTAAAGGAAGATAAACATATCGATACTCATCGTAAAGAATTTTTCTTCAATAAAAACTCAAAAGAGTAAATACATCTTCAGTGTTTTTTTTTTTTGTCTAATATATCAAAATTGTTAAATATCATTAAATATTTCACTATAATCAATTTAATCATCTAGAAAAATAAATTTGACTTACACTTGTTTCATTAACTGTTTTTTTCTTAATTGAAATAATATTTCTTTCAACTTTAATTATATCTCTATTAATATTAATTAATTCATTTTCATTTGTATATATTTGTTTATTAATTGAATTTTCAATATATGACGTCATTTCATTTAAATTCCAAACTTTTTGACGTAATTTTGCCATTAATGGAATAATATGTGCTTCAGTTGTAAATATATAATGATTTGCACCATGTTGATTTAAATAATTATCTTCATCAAATAACTAAATAATATAATAATAGAATTATTTATTAGATTTTTTTTTTAAATAAATTAACTTACTAAATATAAATATTTACATGTTTCACTAAGAAAAAATGATTCCATACGATCTTCAAGTGTTTTATCACGAACATCATGTACAGTAGCAAAACCACATCTAATATTTTATAAAAATTTATTAAAAAAAAAAAATTATTAATATATATATAAACATACTCGACTTTTGTATAAAGATTTAAATTATCTAAAATATCTCTACCAACATGTAAATAAAATGGATTTTTAGTTGCTTGATATAAAAAATATGTTGATTCAATAAATTCTGGTCTTAATGGATAAAATAAAACATCAGGCATTTTTATTTGCCAATTAAAACGTTCAGGTAAAACACCAAATTTTCTCCATATTGAATAATAAAGTGCATGTAAACAAATAGCTTCATCAATATCACCACGTAAAACTTGTACAGCTGAAAATGATGCTTGTAATGCATCAATCCATGTTGTTGCTAATTGTCCAGTATGCATATTAACATTAACAAATATTGGATGAATACCTTCTTCATCCATACAATTAACTCGACTAAACAAAAATCTAAATAAAATAAAATACAATTTATAAATATTAAACAAACCCGCGACGAAGATATTGAGTTACAC